AATAGGACAGACTTGGAAATAGTATGAACTATTTGCATTTAACTAGAAAGATCAGTCTAGTATTAATATGTAGTTTATAGATTTGATGAGGTGAGAGTGGAGGTAGGGAGAAACAGAGTTATCAACAATGGAAAAATGTAAATGAATTTGAGAGATAAAAGGCAGGAGTGGTGAACAGACTTTGGCAACTGATTGAACATGCAATCATGAGTAAGAAAAGTTCAAGGAAGGCTCAAAACTCTTTCACTTACAGAGGAGTCAAATCTGACTTAAAATCTTTCCTTAAAATATGGAATGCCTTTAGTTAAGAGGAAGAATGAAGATATCAGAGGGGACCTAATAATCCACTTTAAGGATGTTGGCTTTTACTCAGAGTAACATGAAGAGCATTTGACGTCTTTTGGAAGAGTATCATTATGTAACTTGTATTTTATAAGAATTGCACTGACTGCTGTGTAGAGAGTAGACTGGAGAAGGGGAGCAAGAGTAGAAGGAAGAAGGCCAGTTCTGAGCCTACTACACCATGGCAGTAAGATGAGAGATGCAAGCAGTTCAGGTAAAGGTGAGGCAGCAGAGACAAACAGAAATGGATGGATGTTGGACATATTTTTAAGGTAGAGCCAATAGGATTTCATGGTTGAGTGGATGTAATGCATGAGAAAAAAGGACATTATGGAAAACCACAAGAATGTTGTCCTAAACAAGCATAAGATGGATTTACTATCTGACATGCGTGAGGTTGTGGAAAAGAACAGATTTGATCAGCAGGGAGAAATAACAGGTCATTTTAAATTTGTCACCTATTAGATATCCACTTAACTGTGTCAAATAGGCAACTGAAGGTATGATCTGAGAACATAAATGTGAGCATTTATAATATTTAAATTAATCATTCCATTTATCAAATAGCTGCTTTTCCTTTGCCTGGTCTTTGGTTTATCTAGATTCCACATATTAGTGAAATCATCCAGTTTTTTTTTTTCTCCTTCTGACTCTATTTAGAATAATCTCTCACATGCATGTTGCTGCAATGGCATGATTTTATCTTTTTTGATTGCTGAGTAGTATTCCATTATGTATAGGTACCACATCTTCTTGATCCACTCATTTGTTCTGGGGCATTGAGGTGGTTTCCATATCTTGGCTATTGTAAATAGTGCTGCTATAAACACGGAGTGCAGTCTTCCTTTCAAATTAGTGTTTTTTTGGATAGATACGTAGGAGTGGAGTTGCTGGGTCATATGGCAGATCTGAATCTATTTTAAAGGAAGAGCCAACACAGTGCTTTTTTTATTTTTTTAAATGAATGGAAGGTAGATAATGAGTAAATAAAGGAACCAAAGGTGTAACTCAAAGATTTGTGGCCCTTTTAACCTTTGGAAGGGTGGAGTCAATATTAATTGAGATGAGGAAGTTCAGTTTTGGACATTTTAACTTGAAACATTCTTAAATATCCAAATAGAAAGATGAATAGGTAGTTGAGCTAGTGGTTTTTCAGTATGGTAGGACAGAGTGGGAGAAGCATGTGGTAATTTTATCAAAAGTATGGGTACCAGTTTTAAAAGATTGTGAAACTGCCATAGCTAGAGTGAGTCACCTATGAGTTTTGAGTCCTCAATGAAAATCTCCAGCATGCTGTTGTGAATGTCTGGGGGAGAAGCAGCTGAGAATCACCAGTAATAAAAGATGTTGCTTCTTTATGGAGAGTTGTGTGTCTGTGAAAGCTCTGTGCTTATGAGGAATTCTGTGGGCTAGCTAGCTTTGGGTATGTGCTAAGGAAATTAATTACCCTGGGTAACTACTTATCTCCGCTTTTATTAGTAGTTTCGAGCCATCATTTTCTGTTGGAGAAAACTGATGGGAAGAGGAAAATTTTTTAAAAAGTGAAGCGGAAAGTGCTTTTTTCCAAATGGGGAAGGAACAAAAACAAAAGCTTTTAAGTGCATAGAGCATAAGCTGCTTTTCTGCAAGAGGCAAGAAACAGAGGCCTAAAATTAGAACAGAGAAGGTAGCCTGGGCCTTTCACGCTGCTCAGGGATGGCCAGGGAAGCAAGCAAAGCCCTTCCTTTTAATTAGTTCACATGGACTGAAAATAGAACTCCTGATGCTGAGACAATGTTCTTCCAGCAGCTGCTGGACACAGGCAGCTCGGGGGCTCTGGCATCCAGCCAGCCAGCCTAAAGGCCAAGGACGGGTTGTCGTGTTGATCTTCCCAAGCTGAGGTTCAGGGTGAGCTGCAGGATGGAGGAAGTTAGGGGTTAGTGAGGACGATGTGTAATTATATCTTTGAGTTTTATTGCCTTAAAAATGTGCATTAAACAAGTTATTTTAATTATTGATGCTTAAATTCAGTGCTTTAAATAGATAAGGATTTTAAGTAGCCAGAAGGAAGGCATTTTTCCTTCAAGTATATATGTAGCAGCAGAAATATATTCCTATCAGTTCCTGATAAATCATGAAACCCCTCTCCTATGCTTGGCTTTTCCTTTTTCTCCTCTGGTATCACGTGACTTCTCCACTCTGCAGCACATACTGCACATCACACAAAAGGCAAGGTAAAGGTGTTGGACAAAGAGAAAAAAATGGTTTTTTTACTGTTTTTTCCTTTACTGCTATTTTAACTACCTAAAATATGAAGATATCTTATGTAGTTAGATGGGGTAATGTGGTTTACTTAGTGTACATAATTGGGTGAGAACTCGTTATTCTGAGTGACATTAGTTGAACTATGACTACTGGTTTATTTGAGCGGCATAAAATAAATCTCTGTACTCAGTGTGTGACATTATGAGAAAACCCAGGGTGCTGTGAGAATATCTAAGAAGGTGATTGATCTTGTATAGGGGTCTGCCAGCTTTGCCCGGGCAGACTTGTTTCTGAGAGATAAGCACAGAGGAATTAGCTAGACCAAGATGAGGACAGAAGATTGCTCCTCAAAGAAGAAACGGCGTTGGTTATTTTTTTTTTTTTTTTAAATCCCTATGGTGGATAATGCAACCACAGGTTTCATTTCCCAGAGGGAAGGAAAAATGGCAGGAGTTGCAGTCACAGAGGGAATCAAAAGCTCCTTTTACCGGGCCTGAAAAGCTGTGCTTAGGATTTGAGTCTTTATCCTAAGAGCAAAGGAGACTTAAAAGCAGTGAGAAGTCCCTGGCAGGTTTGTGAGCAGAGAGAAATGATCCATGTTAGTATTTTGGCAGTATAGGATTTCTCCCCTCAGGTGTGGTTGCTGTAGCTCTGCTGCCACTGAAGCACCAGAGGTCACCTCTTTTACCCCTGGTGTCCTGGATGCCTCGCATCTTTGGTCAGCTTTCAAGGGTTGATTTTAAAGTATGTCTTTTTCTGACCCTTTGTTTGGTTTCTCTATATTAGACATATAGGTGACACCATCTGATACTTATCTTTCTCCTGGCTTATTTCACTTAACATCTATCCATGTTGCTCCATCCATCTTGCTGCAAATGGCATGAGTTTATCCTTTTTATTGCTGAGTAGTATTCCATTGTATATACATTCCACATCTTCTTGATCCACTCATGTGTTCTGGGCATCTAGGTGTTTCTGTATCTTGGGTATTGTAAACAGTTAAGTTCTTCTTAGTTGGTTCACCTCAGCTCATTTTTCACTACAAAGGCAGACCCTATGGGTTAGCCGTGCCTGCCCTGGCCTCTGCTACAGTCTTCACTCCCTTTAGTAAGCTACCTCCAGGACAGCCTGCTTGACTTTCAGCCCAGCTGCCAAATGAAGTCCTGTTCTGGGACTACAGAAACTTACTTCTGGGTATCATTCATAATTAAGGGAAACAAAGTGGGCTCAGAAAAATGTATCCTGCAGATCTTGCAAGTCCATACCATGTGGCGCTACTGAGTTAAATAAGATGAAACCATCCTGGAATCTAGGTGGGATTTGCAGCACACGTTTCTCTTGCCTCAACTTCCCCTACACCATAGCCATAGCCCAGAAGGAAAAGTTCAGGACACACCTATGTAGACCCATTGCCCTCTCCTCCCTATCTCATTCAGCTTTTCTTTTAAAAAAATTCTCAGAGGTTTACAGGTCCTTCTTCTCCTAGGTGAGTTTCCCATTTATTCATCAGACCTAGCTCTGATTTTTCTAAAACAGGAGTCTGACATTTAAGTCTATTGATTTACAAACCCACCTTGTCCCACCTAAGGACATTAACTCTCCTTTCTAGACCTGGGGGAAGAGAATTTTCTAATAAAATCCGACTCAAGGATGGAAATTTTTCAGTCTCTTCTTTGAAAAATACTGACCATATTACATTAAGCCAGTGCCACTAAGTGCAAACTGCATTAGTGAACCATGTGCTTAATTAATGTAGCTTCATAAATGCTTAATACATGTGGCCATTAATATAATCTGTATTGCTGTTATTACTGTAGTTCTAGGCTGGAGCTAAGCCATGAAGAAATCAGTGCAAATGTAGAGCAGTCAGGTGCTAGGAGTGCAGCCAGGTAACCTGAACCTAAATTCACAAGGTTGCTTGGAATAAGCAGGTCAACCTGCTGGGGAGCTGAGTTTGAATTTCTGTTTGTTCTGTGCCCCAGTTTTATGTGCCCAGGAGTGAAAGGGCAGCAAAAGCTGGGAGATGTGTCACTGCTGGGGAGCCTAACACAGTTGCTAATCCCTCCAACATTACAGCAGAGGCAAAGAGAGCAACTATTCCAAAGGGCTTTGTGCTGAAAAATTTTTTTCTTAACTTAATCTTTTATTAACTCAATTTTCTTTTGCTTTTGCCTTCTGTTAATTCGTGTGAAAATATAATTGCTTTGTTAGCTGGAATTTTCTTTGCGATTCAAATTCGGTGCTGCATATATCTTCTCTCTAATTATCTTGTCTACTTTAGTTGCCCTGATAGTTTTTCTCTCCTGATTTCTCTATCAGACTGTTGATATCTCTTGAAAAATCACCCTGATATCAGTTGCATTTGTGTGTTGTATGTATGCTTATTATAATTAAAAGTAAAATAGTGGAGAAAAGCCAATAGTAGTTTTTTTTTTTTATTTTTAATGAAGGGAAAAGGTCTTGAATGTCAGCTCTGTGCTATGGAGAAAATCCCTCTTTACCCTTGGATGACAATAGTTTCCAAATACTAGATTCTTTTTCTCTATTCACATCTTCTACCTCTAGAGTTTTATCTTGGGAGAACATTCCACCCTCTTTTCTCTGCCCTGTGTAGGTTGGACAGGTACCCTGTGTGTACCCAGGCTTTAGTCCTCTAAATGCAGGCTTTTCCTTCCTGCCTCATGCCACAGCGAGCCAGTCCTTGACAGACGGTGCTCCAGGTATTATCCCAGGTAACTTCCTACTATTTGGTAGATCAACTTATTCCCCACCTACCCAGATCTGGACTCTAGTGATTTCAACTCTTCTACTTGACTTTTGGCATCTGTGATAGGCAAAGTTCTAAGTTCTAAGCTGGTCCTGTGATAACTGCCTCCCCCCTCCCATATTCATAAGTTTGTGTGATTCCCCCCTTTTGAGTTTCTTTGGGACCTGTAACTTGCTATTGGCAAATGGCAAATGATGAGGTATTACTGCCATAGTTATGATACGTTTTATAGCAAAGGTGAAAGGATTTTGAAGATGTAACTAAGGTCTCTAATCATTGACTTTAAATTACTCAAAGGAGAGCTTGTCTTTGGTGAGCTTGAACTAACCACATTATTATTCCTTTTAAAGGGTGACTTAGGAGCATTTTCTCACTTTCTCTTCTGACTTGGGAGCTGCACCCCGAGCCTCAGGGGAGGTTGCAGCCCTGGCTGGCACTTGGGCTATGCTCTGGTGACATGCATGGAGGACATAGTGGCTGGGCCAGCCTCCTGACTCCTGCAGACAGAGATGACATATGTGTGTTGTTGTGTGTCTTTGATATGCAGAGATAGAAAATGAAGACAATGTTCCATGTTTCCTTGATCTGGAAGAAAGGGAGATACTCTCTCCATCTTCTTTGGCCTACAAAAAAACAAAAACAAGCAACAACAGCAACAACAACAACAACAACAAAAAACCCTGCCAAATCAGCACTCCTAACTTGCTCTCATTGAGTCACAAACATGATAGAGATTGAAGAATTTGAGAATTTTCTCCTTCATTTTACATCCGAAGCCCAGATCCATTAACAGATTATGCATTCACTTACACAATTTTTTTCCAAAATAAGTTTTAACTTTAATGAGTACTAAGTTGTGAAGCTCAAGTTCTAATAGTAAAATCTTAAGATATACACCAGAGGCTGTAATAGATATCATGCAAACTTGCAATTCCTGAATTATTATTACTCCCCAATCAGGCCTCCCTCCTCTAGGACTAAGCTTTTTCACAAAGTTAGCAGAGATAATTTTCACATATATATATCAGCCACTCCACTGTTGAGAACCTCATATGCCTGGCCACTGTGTAAGAATGTCCACAGGCCTTAGCATCCCCAACAAAGTCCTTAATAATTGACCCTGACTTTCTGTTTATCTGTATTCACATATACCAGATACTCCTACATACATTGTCCTTAGAGTTCACTGTTCTTGCTTCATAGTCTACTCTTCTGTAAGCTTGGATGCCTCATCCATCTAATTCACCTGTGTGGAATTTAGCCAAGGGTTGCCTCCTTTGTGAAGCATCCTTTACCTCCAACAATTCAATGATTCTTTCATCCATGTGCCTCTCCTACTCTTCACACACCTCTATTATTAGATATTTTATCTAAAAGTATGTGCTTACATGTCTGTGAGCTGCTTAAATGTAGGGACCTTGTCTGAAATTACATGTATCACTAGTGCCTAGCATAATGACCGACTGACAGTAGATGCTCAATAAATGGTAAGTGATTGAATAAGTGAATGAATATTTGCTTTGTTTGAATTCTGCAACCTATGGGCTTATTCCTATCTATCAATAAGGCCAGACCCAGCTCTCTTCTGAGCTACAGAGCCCACCTTTCATTGGTTCTTTTATTAAACGCCTCAGAGAGAAATGTCATTTTTAAAGAAAATTGGTGTTACATAATTGATCTGATTTCACAGATAAAAAGAAAGCAGTTATTTTCATTGGGAGGCTATCTAGTTTTCTTAGATAATTATAAAGCAGTTGACTGAGCCGTGCCAGAATCATTAATATCACCCTGGAAATCAATGTTTCTGACAATGTGCTCTAATTTCTATTTTCCTTCCCCTTTTTATTTTAGTGAAGCAATAGCTAAGACTTCATTAAGAAAAAAACCTAACAGGGCCTCCCCGGTGGCGCAGCGGTTGAGCGCTGGGTTGCGAAGCTGCCAGCGCCCTCTGCGGCGCCGGTTCGATCCCCGGCTGCTCCCCGGCCACAGGAGGAGGGTCCCACATGGTGCGCAGACCTCTCCTGCCGCCCGCTGCTCCCCTCAGCAGTGTACTTGGGTCCTTCTGCCTGCTCTACTCCCCGCTCTGGCTCTGGTGAATTCTCTCACCCTCCCGCGCTTCTGACTGTACCCAGTGCATGTACAAACAAACAAACAAATAAATAAATAAATAAATACATGCCCCTTTAAAAAAAAAAAAAAAAAAAAAAAAAGAAACCTAACAACTTTAATGAGCCCTGTTGTTTTACATGTCAAAGCAATGCATAGTATATCTCTTTTTTCTCTCCAGAACTGACATTTCCCTCACCACTGTGTTGGCCAGCTCCTGCATTAGCCATACATGTGCTGTCAATATTGTATTAGGACTTTAGGCCTGGAGAGTGAGGACTTTCAACAGCTTACTCATGATCAGAGCCCAGTGGGCAGATGAAACACCACTGACAGAATTCTGACCTCTGGCAACTCGCTCTCACAGGATCTCAAGTGTGTTCTCACATGCGCATTAGTTTTCCACAGCATGGTTCTCCTTACTTGGAAAATTGAATGGAGTATAGCAGGAAGACAAATAGGTTGCAAAGAACTGGCATTTTTTCCAGAGTCAAAAATGTAATTTTTATTTCAGATCAATTTAGATCTGAAAAAGGTCTGTGGCATGTCTTATGTGTTGATACTTTTTGATTAATCACAGATGTGCATGCTCTTTTTATTAACTTAGATAATCAAGAGCTGACTATGTAATGCTAATAACAGCTCAGATTTCCTCTGGGAAAAACACACAGCACACGTGAAAGGAAGCATTATTAACTAAACACATTTCTCAGTTCCTAATGATTAGCATTTTGACAAGCTGTTGTCTTAGATAAAGGTTTTAGATTATATGTTACATAACTTCAAAGTATTTTGCAGTATTTCTTCTTGACTTGAGTACTAATAGTACTCATTTTAATTTAAAAGAAGGAAGTCCTCAACTCTATTTTAGTCTCCTAATCACATTTTCTCGTCCATTGATGTGCTGTAGGCCATTAATTTGCAACTAGGTTTTGCTTCTACTATTAATTATAATCCTCTAGAACAGGGTAACATTACAATAAATGATATGTCAAGTTCTCCAACCTAAGTAGTTTTCTATTTTCTAACGATATATTTGCCTCTAAACATTGATATATAGGATATTAAAACTAGAATATCAAATTCAAAATGAACCTAAACAATTTCCCCATACCACATATTTCATATATTCCCTTTCAACCAATTTTTAGCTATTCTTTAAAATTTATCTTGGATATATTTATCTAAAACTGGATCTTTATTGTTGGGTAAGACTTGCTATCATGTTCATTTTACTATCTTTACAACCTCAAGCATATGAGCTACTCTGTTTGAGGCCTAAGTATTATTATTCATTATAAACAAAATATAAAACTGTCTATAAACACTAAACAAAATTACTCATGTTATCATATTTATTTATAATACTTTATAGGAAAAGCTTATTCATTCATTTAACAGATACTTTTTTAGTACTTTCAAAGTATTAATACCCAGGCAATAATTAAAGCCTAATGTTATTTATATTAGTATCATTTGAGCTTAGAGATAGGAGCATATAAATCTATCTAGAAGAGGCAGAGGTGGTTTCACAGAACAAATAAAACTGGTCTTGTGACTTGCAGAATTATTAAATGGCTCTTGGAAGACTAGGGGTGGGGGAAGAGAAGGGAATAGAGAAAGAGGTAAAGCATCGCAGAGTGATGAGTAATCTGGACAGAGAGGAGAGATTTTTTCCAAACAGTTGGAGTCTTGTAGAGATGTAAATTAGAACACATTATGTTCGAGGAACTGAAACTGACCCAAGAAAGCAGGATTGGGGAGCATGAGTAAAAGAATGCCAGCAGTAACTAGAGATTGGCAGACACCAGGTTGCAGAGGGCTGGACAAACCATCTTAAAGAATCTGAATTATATTTTAGGAACAAACGTATTGCAGTTTCCACACTGGGTAAAAAAACTAACCACGGAGAAAATGGGGTCTGAGGTCTGACTCATTCTCTGCTTATCCCAGAGAGCAGATAAACTCTGCACCAAGTCTCACATAGACTTGTTGTGGTCCTAGTGGGAAGCTACCTAAGGTTTTAAGCAGCAGAATGATTGCTAATCTGCATTTCCCCATGTTCATTCTAGCTGTGCTGTAGCTTCTCTTAGAGGAGAAAGACAGGATACGTGGGACTTGATGTAGGTGAGTCAGTGGCAGCTCACATTAGGACTGTAGCTCTGGCAAAGAAGTGAGATGTTTAGGAGGCAGAATTTACAGAACTTATGATTAACTATGGAAGCCACAGGTGACCAAGACATTAAGGAGACAGGGATGCTCCTCGCACTCCTGGTTTGAGCAGAAACCCTAGCTAGGAGCCTCAGGTACAGCATCTGAGACTTCAATGTTGAGAAGAAGCTCCTGGAGTTTTTCCACAGTGGGAAGGTATCAAAATCAGCTGGACTAGAGGACACAGTAAAAGCATGTAAAAGTCTTTTGGGGCCAGCAGGCATGACATTACACTTAAAAGAATGGTTTTCTTTCGTTCCTTTTTTTCCTTGTTGGAAAAGTTGAATCCCTTTGATATTTTCATTTTACTTCTTAGGCCATTGTATATTTCCATTGGGCTAAATTTGTACCATAGGGACATTAGTTGTTACCTGACTTTAGCTTTAATTTAAAAGGGAAAAAATGTAATTATGAAGGAGATTGGGCATGTGGGCACCTGATTCATTTCCCTGGGTGGCACCATGACTCACACTCATTAAAGCAGGTTTGCTTTGAGATGCCTGATGCCTTATCAGTTCTAAATTCTCTGCCCTGTATGTGAACAATAAGATGAGCTTCTCTCGAGGGTCATTCACTGCTCTTCATCTCTACTATGAGTCAGATGTTTTGCATTTCAAAACATTATCCTGCCTACAATTTCTCTCTTTA